AACAAGAAAAATCTCAAATAAACAACCTAACCTATCACCTAAAAGAATTAGAAAAAGAACAAACAAAACCTAAGGCCAGCGTAAGGAAGGAAATAATAAAGGTCATGGAGGAAATAAATACAATAGAGATTTTAAAAAACAATTGAAAAAAATCAATAAAACCAAGAGCTGCTTCTTTGAAAGGGTAAGCAAAATCGACAAGCCTCTGGCCAGGCTCACCAAGAAGAAAAGAGAGAGGACCCAAATAAACAAAATAAGAAATGAAAGAGGAAAAATAACAACCAATACTGCAGAAATACAAAGAACCATAAGAGAATACTATGAACAATTATATGCCAACAAGTTGGAAAACCTAGAAGAACAAGTTTCTGCAAACCGAAGTCCAGGACCAGATGCCTTTACTGGGGACTTTTACCAAACATGCAAAGAATTTATACTGATCCTTCTCAATCCCTTCCAAAACACTGAAGAGGAGAGAACACTCCCAAAGCCATTCTATGAAGCTGTCATTGCCCTAATACCAAAACAAGACACAGACAATACCAAAGAGACTTGCCTGGTGGTGCAGTAGTTAAGAATCCACCTGCCAATACAGGGGACACAGGGTCAATCACTGGTCCAGGAAGATCCCACATGCCGTGAAGCAACTAAGCCCGTGTGCCACAACTACTGAGCCTGTGCTCTAGAGCCCGCAAGCCACAACTACTGAAGCCCACATGCCCTAGAACACACGTGACACAACTACTGAGCCCACATGCCACAACTACTGAAGCCAGCGTAACCTAAGGCCCGTGTACTGCAACTACTGAGCCTGTGTTTTGCAACTACTGAAGCCTGCATGCCTGGAGCCCATGCTCTGCAACAAGAGAAGCCACTGCAATGAGAAGTCCGCACACCGCCACAAAGAGTAGGCGCTGCTCACTGCAACTACAGAAAGCCCGCATGCAGCAACCAAGACCCAATGCAGCCAAAAAATAAATTAAAAAATAAATTTAAAAAAAGAGACAATACCAAAAAAGAAAACTACAGGCCAATATCTTTGATGAATATAGATACAAAAATTCTCAACAAAGTATTAGTAAACTGAATCCAACAACACATAAAAAAGATCATAGGCCTTGATCAAGTGGACTCATCCCAGTGTCACAAGGATGGTTCAACATACACAAATCAATCAATATGATACACCATAACAAGAAAAGAAAAGAAAAGAAAAGGAAAGAAAAGAAAAGGAAAGGGAAGGGAGGGGAGGGGAGGGGAGGGAAGGGAAGGGAAGGGAAGGAAAGGAAAGGAAAGGAAAGAAAGGGAAGGGAAGGAAAAGAAAAGAACAGAACTACATGATCACCTCAACAGATGCAGAAAAAGCATTTGATAAAATGCTTTTGGATGCTTCAACATCCATTCATGATAAAAACTCTCACCAAAGTGGGTATAGAGGGAACATATCTCAACATAATAAAAGCTATTTAGGACAAACCCACAGCCAACATAATACTCAATGGTGAAAAGCTGAAAGCCTTCCTGCTAAAATCTGGAAGAAGACAAGGATGCTCACTCTCACCACTTCTATTCAACACAGTATTGGAAGTCTTAGCCACAGCAATCAGACAAGAAAAAGAAATAAAAGGTATCCAAATTGGAAGAGAAGAGGTAAAACTGTCATATGCAGATGACATGATATATATATAAAACCCTAAAGACTCTACACAAAACTACTAGAACTGATAAATGAATTCAGCAAGGTAGCAGGATACAAGATTAACATACAGAAATCTGTTGCATTTCTCACATTAACAACGAAATATCAGAAAGGGAAAGTAAAAACACATAAAAAAATAAATTTATTTATTTATTTATAGCTGCATTGGGTCTTCATCGCTGCGCATGGGGTTGCTCTAGTTGCAGCAAGCGGGAGCTACTCTTTGTTGTGGTGCGCGGGCTTCTCACTGTGGTGGCTTCTCTTGTTGAAGAGCATGGGCTCTAGGCGTGCAGGCTCAGTAGTTGTGGCTCACAGGCTCTAGAGCACAGGCTCAGTAGTTGTACGCATGGGCTTAGTAGCTCTGCGGCATGTGGAGTCTTCCTGGACCAGGGCTTGAACCCATGTCCCCTGCATTGGCAGGTGGATTCTTAACCACTGCGCCACCAGGGAAGCTCACACATTCTCTTTTAAAATCGCATTAAAAAAAAAATACTTAGGAATAAACCTGACAAAGGAGGTGAAAGACTTAATATGCTGAGAACTATAACACACTGATAAAGGAAATTGAAGATGATTTAAAGAACTGAAAGACATACCATGCCCTTGGATTGGAAGAATTAGTATCATTAAAATGGCCATACTACCCAAAGCAATCTACAGATTTAATGTGATCACTATGAAATTACCCATAACATTTTTCACAGAACTAGAATAAATAATCCTAACATTTATGTGTGACCATAAAAGACCTAGAATTGCCAAAGCAATCCTGAGAAAAAAGAACAAAGCAGGAGGCATAACCCTCCCAGACTTCAGACAATGCTACAAAGCTACAGTAATCAAAACAGCATGGTACTGGCACAAAAAACAGACATATGGATCAATGGAACAGAACAGGGAGTGTAGAAATAAACCCACACACCTACAGTCAATTAATCTTAGACAAGGAGACAAGAATATACAATGGAGAAAAGACAGTTTCTTCAGCAAGTGGTGTTGGGAAAGCTGGGCAGCTGCATGTAAATCAATGAAGTCAGAGCACATCCTCACATTATACACAAAAATAAACTCAAAATAGCTTAAAAACTTAAATATAAGACACAATACTGTAAAACTCTTAGAAGAAACCACAGGCAAAACATTCTCTGACATAAATTGTACCAATGTTTTCTTAGGTCAGTTTCCCAAGGCAATAGTAATAAAAGCAAAAATAAACAAATGGGACCTATGCAAACTTATAAGCTTTTGCATAGCAAAGGAAACCATAAATAAAATGAAAAGACAACCTATGGACTGTGAGAAAATATTTGCAAATGATTCGACCAACAGGGCTTAACTTCCAAAATATACAAACAGCTTATACAACTGAATAACAAAAAAATGAACAACCCAATCAAAACTTGGGCAGAAGACCTAAACAGACATTTCTCTAAAGAAGACATACAGATGGCCAACAGGCACATGAAAAGATGCTCAAATCACTAATTATCAGAGAAATGCAAATCAAGACTACAATGAGGTATCACCTGATACTGGTCAGAATGCCTATCATCAAAAAGTCTACCAATAATAAATGCTAGAGAGGATGTGGAGAAAAGGGAACCCTTCTACACTACTGGTGGGAATGTAAATTGGTGCAGCCACTATGGAAAACAGTATGGAGGTTCCTCAAGAAACTAAAAATAGAGTTGCCATATGATGCAGCAATCCCACTCCTGGGCATATATCCAGAGAAAACTCTAATTGGGAAAGATACACGCACCCCAATGTTCACAGTAGCACTATTTACAATAGCCAAGACATGGAAGCAACTTAAATGTCCATCAACAGATGAATGAATAAAGATGTGGTATATATACACAACGGAATACTACTCAGCCATAAAAAAGAATGAAATAATGCCATTTGCAGCAATATGGATGGATCTAGAGATTATCACACTAAGTGAAGTAAGTCAGAAAGAGAAAGACAAATACCATATGATATCACATGTGGAATCTAAAATATGACACAAATGACTCATTTACGAAACAGAAACAGACTCACAGACATAGAGAACAAACTGATGGTTACCAAAGGAGAAAGGGGGTGGGGGAGGGATAAATTAGGAGTTTGGGATTAGCAGATACAAACTACTATATATAAAACAGATAAAAAACAAGGTCCTACTGTACACCACAGGGAACTATATTCAATATCCTGTGATAAACCATAATGGAAAAGAACGTGAAAAGGAATATATACATTTATATATAACTGAATCACTTTGCTGTACACCAGAATCTAACACAACACTGTAAATCACCTATATGTTGATACATAAATAAATAATATATTCAAAGATTAGAATATTTTATATATAACAGGTGAAGTATTGGTCTACTTTCTTTTTAAAAGAAGAAAATTTTACAGAAAGGAAGATTACAAGGGTCTTTGTGGCATAACTGTAGAACTAATTGATCCAGAGAACAAGTTTCTAACTGATCAGTTTAGTAATTTATGAAAAATGGAGATATTAAAAGCATAAATTATCTTATTCAAGAAGAAAAAGACATCTGGAAAGCTGGCTTAGCAATTGAGGCCCACTGAGATCCAATAAACCCAATGATTTTGATAATTTTTACAAATTATACCAGGGTTGTGACGATGTGACTGACCGCGTCTATTATGTAGTAGTCATAGTGATCAATGACTGGTAGATATGTCCTAAAGAGACCTGCTATCCTCTCAACATTTTGCTTGTGGAGTTACAGCCTTCGTTTAAGTTTTCTACAGAGTTGAAAGAAAACAGCAAGATAGGGGATTTCAAAAAAAGTTGGCAAATTAGATCACTGCCAAAGAAAAGGGCAGAAGGGCTCTACTAACATGAAACAGACTCGGCTTCTCTCTCCTTTCTAGATTATGCCCTGCTGAAGCAGATGTGCTCCCCCTCTCAGTCCAGTTACTTCTCGGCTCCTCTTATCTACCATTCTCTCCTCAAATTCTTCTTTTCTGCTTTATACGCTATTGAGTTAAAAACTTTTTGCTCATCAGAAATTTCTGCTACAGGACTAAATCCAACTATTTCAACTACCACAGAATAGCTTCTTCTTAATTCTGAACCATCTGAGCCAACTCAGATAACCCAAGTGAGAGAAAGGTGCCTGGAAGCAAATAATATGGTAAAACTGAGTATCTGCTTTATGTATAAATGCATTTTGAACAATACACAAATATGTTTTAGTTTTTTTCCTAAGATATTAAATTAATTTGAACAAGACAATTACTTAAAATTGTTTCTTTTTAAAATATAGAAACATACCTACTTGGCCAGTTGCCACTATGTTGATAAATTTGGGGTGCTGATTTACAGTGAGGCACAGAATATCATCATTATGTTCCTGATAAAAACTCTGAGTCCCTAGGAAAAAAAGAATTTGAGAATTAAATCTGAAAACTTTAAGGTGAAATAATCAAATGCACTTACACAGAGTAATAAACTGCTGTGTTTAACTTACTTGCTTATTTAACACACATACATGTATATATTTTTTGTGGCCGTGCCGTGCGGCTTGCAGGATCTTAGCTCCCCGACCAGGGATCGAACCTGTGCCCCCTGCAGTGGAAGCACCAAGTCTTAACCACTGGACTGCCAGGGAAGTCCCAACACATATTTTTTGAGCACAACATATACACTTCATCCTAAGGATGGAAACATGACCAAGAAATCCTTAAAGTAACAAACCCTGAAAGGCATAAACCACGTAATACGAGGTTGAAGACATCAAGTGCCACAAGAGAGTTAAAGATCAAAATGCTATGGAAATTTGTAGCAGATTCTTCTTCTTATGAGCAGATGGCACTTCTGGACTGACATGACAGATTGTGTAAATGTGAATGTGAGTGGGGAAGGGCCTTCCAGGGAGAGGGATACTTGAAGCAAAGGTACAAAGGCAGGAAAGTACTGGGTATGCATATAGATGGCTCATTTGGCTGAAGTGTAGGGTAACAAAAAAGAAAAGTAAGATATAGGTTGGGCAGGCAAATTGGAACTAGAATTACAGAGCATTTTGAAAACAAGCCTATTATTAAATTTCATATTTATTCTGTAGTCAGTGGGGAGGTACTGAAGAATCCTGATCAAAGAAGTAATGTGATTACTCTAGCAGTAGTGACAGTGAAGAGACCTTAGCAGACTATGATTGTGCAGGAGGCAGTAAAGGTAGGCTTGTGCAAGTAAAACGGAGGGGTGGGAAATGAGGTCAGGATGGTAGACTGGGTCCAGATGATAGAGTACCATCAATACTAGGTCCTCCGAAAAGCAAAACAAAACCAAAGAAAACATTTAAAAAATGTCATTTAACATATCTAACATTACTTTAAAGCAACTTCTCCAAGTGAAATGGGCTTCATATTTCCCAGGGCTGAGAGTTCAGTTAAAGGAACAAACAAGTAATTATATGTGCTGTTGGCTAAATTAGTAGATCAGCTAATAGGTCAAGACTTCCTAGACTGTAAACATAGCAATGTCTCTCCATAATGATGAGAGGCCAAATAACCAGAACTGGAGCAGGTGCTTAGTCTTCCCTCTGCCGTCTCTCGCTACATCCCATCATTAGAAAGATGATTAATTAAAAATCAGGAAATTAAAAATAAAGAAAATTACAAGTGTAAATATGAAAGTGTATTTATACTTTCATCCCTATGTAATTTGTCTTTTGTTATCGTCCCTATTCTCTTTGAAGGATAAGTGAAGCCTCAAAGAGGATTTTCTTTCTAAGAGGTATTTTTTTTAAATGACCCAAATTATTAAATGGAAAACTGCCATTGATTTGTGTAATACTGATAAATCTTTTTCTTAGGGCAACTAAAACAGAGATATCATATTAATTATTAATACTGACCAGGGGTTGGTGGATTATGACTCACATAATCCACTCTACCTAATTAGAATGAAGCTACCAGAGGAAAAAGCCAGAAATGTTTGGACTAGATAATCTATATTTTTACTTCTAACTTTTAGACTTTTATGAAGTTTACAACTATATGTAATAAAATAGAATTCAAAATTAATACTGAGTATTACTAGTAGAATTATCACATCATTGGTCATCAAATGATGCTCAGAGAACTTTCTTTGCTCTTCAACAATCCAATCAGTTAAAGAGAAATCAGGAAATATTTTCTCATTTTCTTGAATCTAACAAGGTATCATCAGTCAAGTCACCGGCAAGCAGCTTTCTTAGTTAACCTCCTTGGCTTTCCGAGGGCTCAGTGTGAACACTGCCACTCCACCCCGCTCCCTAGCGATCACTCATCCAACGTGCTGCTTTCAGTCACTAACCGTCAAAGACAACCATCCAAACCATCCACTTATGCGTTTAGGTTATGGGGAAATAAAGTCACAAACGGTTTCGCTATAAAACGTGCTTTCAACATACAGTAATCCTTTACTTCTCATCGAGATCTTTGAGCACTTTGCGTATGAAATCCTTTTTTGCTGTGTTAAATGTCTTCAAGACTGTAAATTTGTTACTTAAAATATTACTAGAAAGTTCTACAGTATGAAATATTTATATTCTAGATTCACATATTTTAATTATTTATATTTTTAACAAAGAGTTTTAAGATGCTAAATTAAAAATTCTAAATTTTAAAAAGTGGGGAATGGAGAATCAGGGTTTCCTACCTGTAGCAATGTTGTGCAGAATTCCCACGGATGCAGTGTGATAAATTATATCATCACCATCATTTAAATAATGAACATTATTCCTACAGTCTCTGCCTCGATAGCCAAAAACAAGCTCCAACACAAGGTCCTATAACAATGATAAAACCATTATACAATTCCTCATGTCTAAATGTTCACCATTATTTTGTTATATAGAGTACTGGTGTCTTCAGTCAAAATGGAGGATGCATTTTTGATGTTTTATAAATTTCAAACACAAAATTAACCTAGATATACCTCTCTATGTAACCCGTTTTGGGCAGCTGAAACACACATTCCATACTTTTCTACATAAAGTCAAAAAATGAAAGGAGAACCACAAGGTCATCTGATTCTAAGAATTTTAGTTCTTAAAATTTCATGTGTTAAACATTGAGATACTTCTTGTGTCCAAAAGAAGAATATTTCGATTTGTGTTAAACTGTTAGTCAAAATATTTGATCTGCCTAACTCAGGATAACTTATGTCCAAGTGATGTACTTTCAAGGATCCAGACAGTATATCAGCTTTGTGCACTAAGCAGACTGTCTCTGATAACTCATGTTAAAGTTCTAGCAGATAATTCTGCTACTCCAAGTGTCCATTTTCACTGACCCTGTGAGGCTGAGTGGGGTAGGAAGTACAACAACCACCCTCCCACAGCTTTACGCCTTGTTTTAGACCTCACTTAGCACAGTTTGCTTGTTGCTGCTGATACTGAGATTATGAAATGCCTTTCTTTTTTGCTCAATTATTGTGCAAAGGTTTCTTTGCTTTGAAGCAGAACCTTCATTAAACCCTTCAGTGAATACATCACATGGAGTAAAAGTTCCTGATTTGGTGTAAGCATTAAACCTTTAACTTATAAATTCAAACTGCTAAGTATAAGACACTGCCAAAGTGCCTATGCTTCCATAAACCACAGATCATTTCATACATTTACATTTAGAAGTTCTCTGAGATACAGTTCAATTTAGGGTATTATTCATAGAAAACTAAAAGAAAGACTAATAAAAAAAAGGAACAGAGGATATCAATCCAAGACTCAGATTTGACAGTTAAGCAATCAATTTTTACAACCAAACAAAAAAGAATATTCATCAGTACATTTATTTTCATAAAGAATAATGAAAAGATTTAGATGTTTTCCAAAAGGAAACAAACTAAACCCTGTATACATTTTACGGTACCAATTAACACCGGGGAGTGGGATTTTCCTCACCTCTATGGGTCTCTTTTTCTTGCCGACATTGTTGGTCTGGAGTTTCACTGGCTGTGGCGGGGCCCTGCTCACAGGAGGCCTGAAACAGGGAAGTGGGAAAGAGGAAAGGAACCCATCACTAGGTGCCTTCACTGGGCTTCTCTCACCTGCCCTCCAGAGGCCGATGTCTCTGACACATCTTCACAAAAGTGAACCCAATCTGTGTTTCTCACTAGACTTCACCCTCCTTATCTTGATATCTTCTAAAGCAGAAAGGTGGAAAGAAAATATTAGAACTTCTATTCATTTTTCTTTTAACTTCTTTAGTGTATGTTTCATAAATGTAACTAATATAGCAGCACAAGAACATATAGATGATAAAAATATACAAATGTTAGTTTTACACACTCAAAAACTTCTACATGGTGTACATTATCAACAAAGCCTAGATTACTGCTCTAAAGTAGCTACCTCAGTATCTTGCACATGGCAGGTACTCAATATATTCTTATTGAATTTTGAAAATATTTGTATAAACTTTCCATACTGTTGGCAACATAAGTCATGTGTGAGTTCAAATCTGTACTCTTTACCTGCTCCTCTGTGCCCTTTATCTTCTCTTCTTCTGGAGTCCCCAGTATGGGGTTATGGCATCACCTTCAGTTACTCAAGCAAGACATTTTACAGTTACAAAGCACTGTAAACCATACAACACTCTGTAAAAGGTTATTACTATTGTCTCCAACTCCTTCTCTTCCCTTATTCTCACTATTAACTACATATTTTTCAACTTTACCTACATAGTAGCTCTCAAATCTATCCCTCTCCTTCTCTGTTTCCATCACTAGTTCAGGATCTATTTATAATGAATGTGTCATTAGGTGTATAGAGTTCCCATTTTCTATTATTTAAATGTGGAGACTCTTCCCTAAAAAAAAACCCTTTGTTTAATTTTTTAAAGATCCACACACATCATTTAGTTTAGTTTTAACTCAGAGAGCCGTTATTCAAATGTTTAGTAACCTAAATACTAAATCTAAATCAATCATATATCAACTCCCTCTTTCAAATTTTAATATTAATTTTGTAGCAACTAAATCAGAAAATGATGTAAATTAACTTTCCAGTGGAAAACATTCCAACATTTCTGAATAAATCCATAAAATTAAAGGCATAACAATGTATTTGCATTTTCAAAATGATTTTCAAATTATACATCTATAAAAAGTAAATGAAGTGTTATATCTTGAACATGTAATATAAGAGAAAAGTGTATTTTCATATATAATGTGAAGCGGTATGTAGAAGTATAGAAGCATGACTGGTGACATAAAAGTTAAATGCACTTGCAACACTCTATAAAGAACTTTTCAAATTATCACAAAATTTTTTGGTTTCAAACCTTTTTCATATACTTTTCTGAATATCTGTAAGTAATAAGTATAACTGACTTTATAATATTTAACATTTAAAAGTATTTCTGCTAAAATCATTTTGAAGAATGACAGAAGCTTTGGCTTTTCTTCCAAGTCAATTTTGTTGAACTTTATTCAACGTTATTGTCTGAGAACTTTAATAAATGTATAATTTTTATCTATAAGTCCTGTATAATGGTTAAGCATATTTTAATTTTTGTAAAGATAATTTATATAAGATATATTATTGCTTGAAATTCTACAACTTGGAAAATTATACAAGTTGAATGAATAAAGTTTTAGTAAAGCAGTGACTTATATAGTACGAATCCAATAATTAAGATGTACTCATTTCAGGCATACTGATTTCAAAGGAGAAAAACATGGAAAACTGTGAATAGAGGTAAAGAACACCAAGTAACATAGCTTATTAATGGTAAATATGAAAGATAACAAAGATACAAAATTGGGTCGCATAGAGCATAGCAAAGAGAGAGGATTACCTGGAACCTCTTTCCAGCAGCAGATAAAAAAGGGAAAAGATTACAACACAGATTTGCATTTAAAATAGTAGTACAATATTTCCTGTAATAAAATATGTTTACAAGTTTAATGCAGATAAACTATATTGTATATAGTAAAGGGCTATTGGTTTTGTTTACTGCTATATATAAGAAAAGGCTTAGGCTTAGGGCTACTCCATTCATGGCAGGGAAATCAGAAGAAAGAAGATGAAAAAGAAAAGAATTCAACATGTTCTATGTTGTAAACATTAAAGCTTGCCATTCTTATTTTTCCACAGTGCAATCTGAATTTCAAAAAAAATATTTAAGCTTACTTAATGTTTATTAACTTAAATGGCTGGTAGCACTGGCCCTGCTATTAAGGACTGCCTAAGGAACCTAACTAAGCTCCCCCTCCCCTGACCCAAAAGGGATTCCCAGTCAGCCAGTCTAACCAAGTAGGCAGAGTGAGACTCGGGACCATGCTGGATTTGGGACTTTTCTAGCAAAGGAAGTAACTTAAAAGAAAAAAAATTCCCCTTAACAACATAATGACTGAACAGAACTGGAAGGGATCACAGAAGTTAATCTTATCCATCCTCCCAGTGAAACCAGGAATCGTCTTTACATATCTAGAACATCCCTTCATAGCACTGATGACAAGTGGTCATTTACTAAACTCTGCATGAACACTGCTCGTCACAAGGAGGTCACTCCTACATAAGTCATTCATACCTAAGACAGCAATTATATCTCCACTTTGTTTTCTTTTTTTGAAACTAGTGATTCCCAAAGCGATGAATTATTCTTTGTGTAAAGTGGCCTCCCAACATTCCTTTACCCTCTGTTTCCTTCCAGATCACTGTAAACTGCCAATGTCCCTTTAAAAGGCAGAGATCAGTCCTGAATAAGCCACTCCAGATCTGACGTTAGGTCTGAATGTTTTATTTCTTTTAAAATAGTGTAAGATTATGAGGGCTTTTTTAGAAGTCACATCACAGTCTGGACTCATATCTTTGCACACATCACCTCCTGCTTAAAACAGATAATGAATTCCTGATATCTGCCAAATTAATTAAGGAGTGCCTAATATTTGATGTGTTGTACAATCTGATCTCAAATCTACTTATTCATCCTATCTGCCAGCATTTTTCTACTGGTACCTTTTTTACTTCTAAAACAGACTAGACTTTTCCATACTGTCCTGTTTCAGAAACTGTCTGAAGACATTTTTATCTCACTAAAGGTAGCTACAAAAGCACCCTAAAGTCCCTTCTTGCACATATTTTATTAAACATACAAATATCATTACTGCCCCTATGTGAATGTTTTGAAATTAATGAATACATTAAACAAGCATTAAATGAAGCTAACAGGTTTGTTATCAACTGGAAAAATTTTCACTGATAAATATGTGTGACTAACTGTTTTTATGAGTCTTTGAAATTTAAGGAAAAACTAAAACTATTAGAGTATAGGAGTTTGTGAAAAGTCATTTGTAAAAACACTGATTATAATGAAGACCCTCATAACAACACCCACATATTGTATCTATAAATGCAACTCTTCGGTAGGATTTGTCCTATTTCACTTTCTGGTTCTTTCTCAACAAATGTAGTTCAATGTTTTATAGGGGGGAAAAAAAAAACCTTAAAATACCACAAAGACCAAAATAGAAGAATAAATTTTTGAGTAAAGTATTTTCTTTAATAAAATACTTACCTTACTACTCCCTGCCTTCAAAAGGAGCAAGAGGAAAAAAGTAAGGAGATATACATGAAAACTGATGATGAATAAAATGTAGCAGTTTACTAAACAGATTAAAGATGTCAACAGAATTCTAATGAAATACAAAAAGGCCTAAATTTTATGTCACATTGTTTTGAATATTTTTATTCAAAAATACTGGAAATTTGATTGACAAGTAACTACTTAAAATATATAAGATTAACTATAAAAATATTTATAGAAAAAGAAAAACATAAAATTATTAATGTCATTTAGGAAAAAGACTCCACGAAAGTGTCAACTAAATAAAGTTGTCAAATTGTCATCAGAAATATTTTCCTTTTAAGTGGATATTTGACAAGCATTTGTTTTGTTTAAAAAGTGCTTTGTTTTGTATATGACAATATACTTTATTTAAAACATGAAAACAATTATGTATACAGACCATTTTATCTCCTCACAAAAATTCAAAGCTGATGAAAAGAAATATCTCTTCATTTTTATCTCCTTTGATTCCTGCATTTTATGAAAATGAAGGCTCCTAACTATGAATCACAATAATGACTTCTTCTGCGTTGGCATTTTCAGAAGAATTTAGTAGAGGTGAATTGTAAAATAATTTGAGGACAAAATGCAAAATAAATAAAAAATAATTTTGAGAAAGTTAGCTATAAAAAATGCAAGCTAACAGCAAAGATTACAATTATGACAGTGTCAACCATTCTTTGTGAGCAGTAAAATGTTTCCGTCTATCAGAACTCAGGTCTCTTCAGCAATGAAGAAGTAAATTTAAGTGTTTTACCATGAGAGATGGCCTACAGATTAAAATTAGGTCACATTTTCTGACTTACCAAATTTATCTGATAAGTGATAATATTTTCTTCAAAAAATCAATATAATAAATGAAAAAGATTAATGGGAATGTCTAGAGTTCCTTCTTTCCTATATTACATTTTTCATTACCTGTGAGGTATAATTTCTTTTAGGTAATATTAAGTACTATACTGCAAATATTCTAATTGTGAACATCTATATTTGCATACTGATATGTACTCTTCTGATTAATAAATATATAGGTAGTGTTCATTACTTTGTGGATATTTAATTTCAGTACCAAAAAGAAAAATTGTTAGAGTTCCCTGTTGGTCCAGTGGTTAGGACTTGCCGCTTTCACTGCCGTGGCCCTGGGTTCAATCCCAAGCCATGCGGCGCGGCCTGAAATGAAATGAAATTCAATTCAATAAAAAGGAAGTGTGTCAGTATTAACCAGGTATCTCCTTAGGTTACCCTGTATTTTATTCCAAGGAAGGGGTGGGTGAAGACTTACTACTTAAATTCTTATATACATTATTTCATTTCATGAAGTACTCCATAAATTGGGGATTATAATGCTTATTTTTCCTTTGTGGAAACTGAGGCTCAGAGAGAATGGTTTCTCAAAGTCACACAACTGGCAAATGATAAAAATGAATATTTTAACCCATTTATCTGATTCCAAAAACCATGTTGTTTGTACTATATGACGTAGCCTTCTACCAAGTCATTTCAACCTTGCTCAGCTTTTAAAAAACATACCTCTAGTTTAATAACTTGCCTCTTTATAAGAGATGAATAAACAGATAATCACTGTCTACCCTCTTTCTGTAAAGTGACCCCCCCATTGCTATTATCTGAGGTATACCACCATCAGCAAATGGGGCACCTGGAAGAGGAGCTGTGGAGGCATCATGACCTCAACATTCTACCTAGAATTTCAGTTCAACAGCATCTCTAGTTCTCCCCGCTTCTCCATCAATAACATGTATCTCACCCTTCCAACTTCATTCTTTTCACTGGATATTAAATTCCATAGGTGCAAACTCAAATTCCTCTGCCAATGCTTTCTTTTAATATCATTTCTATCTAGCTGAGCTCCAATGATCTTTAGCACTATCCTCACTAACTATACATTCACTTGAATTTTCCACAAATTCTGTTCACTGTGAATGAATTTCCTTTCATTTTTAGCTTTTCCCTCAAATACTAACTTTTTATAATAACGTTTTCCTCATCACAGCTTTCAGAAGAGGTCACTGCTGTTCCTACCTCCCACTGCTTCTTTGTTCTTCAATGTAGTTTCTGAATAATTTTTCCTTTATCATTTCTTAAAACCTCTTCATTTCTGAAATCCATGCCATTCACTGATTCATATGCCTCTTTATTGCTTTCTATCTTCTCTAATGATTTTAAAAGCATCAGGCTCACAGTTTCGCTCTTTCCTCATAAAACTGCAGTGCACACAGCCTTACTTTTGATTTGCTGATTCTAGACAAAGACCAATAATTCCCATTAGAGACAAGCTATACTTCAACTTGCCTTTTTGGAAAAATTTTAAAATAATGACTTTCTATCCTTGATCAAAAAGGCACATGGATAAAAAGGCCTTTTAAAAATTTAATCATCTCTCTGCTCATGTGCTTCCTAAAACATAATAGGTATTGGATTCAATTTGTATTACTTCTTGAAACCCTATCACATATATTTATAAAAGTTAGCAAATAAGATTCCTTTAATCATATAGACTTTATATGGAGCATCATTCCCTAAGCTACTTGCAAAAGACAGTGTCATTACCAAAAAGTATTTAAGGACAAACATGCTTTCTAAGAGGTGCTGGGAACTGTAAAATGCAAGAGTACCACTGTTACTGAGTTTTTGCAAAAATTCATTCCGTTAAACAATCAATTCAAGTTTTAATACCAATATCTTTTTCTTCATCTAGTTTTAAACTTGATTGTTACCTCTCATCAACTGAGGGTTCTTTTTGTTGCAAATGAGGCTTGATTCCAAACACTGGGCGAATATTTGTTGATAAGGCTCTGATGGTGTAACTGATTTCATTCTCCCTTGTGACATCACTGTCATAGCCTAACATTAAAATATAAGAATTATTCTCTATGTTATAACTGAGGAGCACACTTATGATCTTAAAAATTGGATACAAGGATGTTCAACAATATGAAATAAGTTTAATACACTGTGTTATAATCAAATTATGCAATAACATACAGCCAGTAAAAATGATGTAGAAGAATATTTAATGATAAAGTTCTCAAAGTATTGCTAAGTGATAATAGCAAGCTACAAAAAATAAACTCAATATGATATCATTTTTGTTAAAAAAATATAATGTATATAAATACACATACCCCTATGGGTATACCCCAAATGTTAAACAAAGGTTACCTCCAAGTGGTCAAATTATGGATGCTGTGTTTATTTTTTATTGCAAAACATACTTTCTAATTTTTCTGTAATGAGCTGGTATTACTGGTATATTAGGAAAAAACCAAAATTATTTTAAAGTATGAGGCTCAATGCTATAAATTTATTTTAACAGTACTAATTTAAAGTATGATTATCATTCACTGGTAAATGAAGAACATCTAAGTTATTAGTATATGACAGCCTGTTGTTTTCGATTCACAAAACAAATTCTGTTGTTAAATAGACCGAAAGGACTAAAACCACAATTATTCAAGTATTATTATTACTTATTTAACTTCCACAGTTTAAATCAGTTGTGCTAAATTTTTTCTATGTTTTTGTTAAACTAAAATATTTTAAAATGACATACCCCCATCTTCTTCAGAATCTATATCAGATTCTTCACTATCACAAGGCCTTTTTTCTCGATATCCCTCCATTTCATTTGTCCAAACCATTAAAGACATATCTGTACCTCCTAAGGTAACCAACATGCTGTCATCAAAAGTCCAGCGCACATTTGTGACATGTGTACTATGGGCCACATACCTCTTAAACTTTCCAAATTTTCCCTAAAGGTAAAAAAAAAAAATTCAAAACATCTTTCTGAGAAATTTTATTACTTGAAAACATTGTTATAATTTTGAATTTCTTTCTTAATCTGTGATTGGAAATTAATCATTACAAGGCACCTTGTAAAAAAAAAAAAAGAGAAAATACTGAAACTTACTAAAATAAAAAATAACAATTCCCAAACCTGACGAGGACAGGATAAAACTAGTAGTTTTGCCCATTGCTAGTGCTATGGGCATAACTTTCTTGGAAATCAACTTGGCATTCTACATTGAAAAGCATGAAAATGCTGACCTTTGTCTCACCAATCCCTCTTTAAGAGATCTATGCTAAGACATTTTCTGTGCAAAAAATAGTTGCCACAGTATTTACTTATAGCAGTGAAACATTTTAAATACCTTAAATATTCAATAGAGCAATAGTTAATTACGGTGGATATCTTTGGAATAGTACATATCTGTTAGAACAATAGCTATGCAGACATATTGTTGGAAACAGACACAATAACTGGGAAAATCAGTATATAAATGCCTATGTACATAGAGCATGGCCATATTAACAAAAAGTAATTAGCAAACATTTCGGTATATACCCAAGTAAATATCTTTCATCGTAGTTCATTAGTGTTTTTGTTTATAAGCAGATGTTACACATAGGAATGTATTTTTCTTGTAAATATGAAGAAAAATCCAAGTTATAGATACTGGCAACTTTTAAATCTAAACACTAGCATTACCAAATTTCATAAGTAAATTTCAGATCAACATATCATAAGCAGGTTTTAGATGGACATCTTTTCAAGGGTGTTAAAATAAGAAATGTCTTAAATATACAAAACACAGTGATAGCTAAATCAGTGAATTCTTTGGAAATGAAGACTCTTAATAAAAATTAGCTGAAATAGAAGGTGAATCTGTCATCAAAACACTGTAAGAAGGTAGCTTCCCTAAGATTTTGTGGTTCTTGCTACAGTAAGGTGAAGAAGGAATCTGCAGACCAATATCCTAGAACGTATTTTTAAGGTTCCTATACCATCTAGAATATTGAGAATGACGTTTTTGACTAATAAATGTTCTATTGGAACACATTCTTATACAGAAGGTATTACTACTTAAGTGTATCTAAAACAAGGATTTGTGAAATATTTTCTTGGGTGCCTGAGTTTTTTACGGGAATTTTTAAACTTGTGTTTTCATTTTGATGCTGATCTAAAAATATTCATATGAGCAGTTAATTAAGACCACCATGTACTGAATATCATGATTTCAGTGCCATATTTCAAATTTATATTTATGTTCATGTTGGTGCTAGATTACAACATATATCTGAATTTGGGACAATTAAGAAATAAATGCATCTATACTTGATGTATGAATTTTATTTTTGTGCTAAGAGAAAGCCTAATGTTTCCCGGTGGTTTGAATAAAGGAAAGCAATAAAAGAATTTAGTCATCACACAGCACACAGTAGCATGGGCATGCACATTCCAAAGAATCTCTACAGTTTGGTTTTAGGAAAATAACATCACTCATTCACATTAAACCAAAGTTATTTTGACTTTATAGGTAGTGTCATTTATAGTATTTTGTATTTAATTTGTTAGAACATTTTAAATGTTAAAGTTGTAAATATCAAAAGTTTATATTTCCTGTTAATGGTATATATTTAATCAAAAGAATACTAAAATTATTTAATATTAGGGCTAAAAGAATGTTTCTTCTAAAAGGGCTATGGATACTCCTCAATACTGAGAAACTGTACAATATAATATATAACTTAAGGCACAGGATCATAAATTATACTACTACTTCATAAATTATAATACTACTATTATCTATAGATAATACTTTTTATCTATAGATAAAAGCTATAAATATGATGTCAAGAATAGGAAACGTAATTCTGAACCTTTCATATTACAACATTACATATTCCATGTGTAATATTCATATTACAAAAAGAAATGCTATGAAAGGGCATTACTTTAACCATTTTTATAATTATAATCATTAGGAGAATTAAAGAAAAACACATACTTTAGCAGGATATCTAAATAACTTCACAAATCCCAAATCATCCCCAGTAGCTAGGACTGTTTTGTCACTGGTGAGGCAAGAGGCAGTTACATCTGTGACTTCTCCAATTACTGGCCAAATTCCCTCACAACATAAACCAAGCACACTTGTCCATGATGCCCAACCAATTTTTTCTACCTAAAAAAGAAAAAAAAATGCTCTAAGCTTATAACGTCAAACCCTAAAAAATTAACAACAAAAAATCTGAATATTTTTCTTTGTAATTATATATGTCACAAATAAAATTAAAATTTTAATAAAAACAGTTAAACAAATTATTAGCTGTCTTGGTTTTGTAGCTTCCTAAGTCCACTAGTTCCTACAGAAAAATTTTAACATAACATTATTCAAGATGTATTTATTATATATCCACTGTGTATTCTAGATGTGGAATGTACAGTGATAAATATAAGACTTTTTCTGCTTTTAGAATAATCAAGAAATTTATTCTTACACTTCATGTCGAAACTTCTACTAATAGTTTATAAGCATATTTTCCAATTAATCATTACTGGAAATTAAGAATTTTACTTACAGTCCCTCTCCTTATTAAGCTACTTTCACGTTACATTTGTTTAGCTTCTATTCCTTGGCCATGTCAAAAAATTTTGCTAATATGTCAGCCACAAAACCAAACACATTTTTTTCTTTTTTTTCCCCCTCAAACAGGAATTTGCCAATAAGCATCTTAGGCACATGGGTTCCAAAAGATTTGACAGACATGCAGTACCCCAATCTTAGATGGCATGTCTTTTACATGCTATTGCATGCTCCTTATTCTTTGAGGAAAGTAATTAGAGAAGAGCTAGACATACAAGCAAGCAATTTATTTCTTTTCTTAATATAGAATCTCTTCCTTTACCTAGATAGGCATCAGATTTCTAACAACTTTTAGTCATATCAACATTACAAGCACTACTATCTTCCTACCTCTCCACTGGGGATGGTTTGTTTTTTCCCTCTGGGAGCTTCAAAGAATAACTGTTCTTTAGCACCAGTGTTGACCTGTAAAAGCTTTCCTTAAAAAAAAATTTAAAAATATACACATATATAAAATATAAATACATATACAGTTAGTATGATATTTAACTTTTATGGGAAAAATTAAGCTTAAACATAAAAACCATTTTCCTCTGCAGTCAACCATATATATAATAACGTAATTAAACTCACAAATGGCTTAATTTGTGTGTGTGTGTGTGTGTGTGTGTGTGTGTGTATATGTGAACTATTTCTGTTGTTATACATCCCAATCAATATGGGTTATGTAATTGGTAGTGCCTTTGCATATTCCTACTCGTAAAAATCCTAGAAATAAAATTTGAAACCTTTTTTAGAGTATTTTGTTAAACTACATTTGGAAAAACTTTAATTTACAATACGAGATTTATATAGGTGAGTATCTGAAACAAAAATTCCTAAAATGGAGCATTTAAAATATTTAGCATTTATCTAAATTATTAAACACTGCCATATGCCACGCATTCTGCTAAAAAACAGATACTCATTAAATTCTGTATGTTATACAACTATGACAATTTTAGGGAATGTATTTTATTGAATGCTGGGAAAATTACATTAAAACTGGGAGTTCCCTGGTGGTCTAGTGGTTAGGATTCCAGGCTTTCACTGCTGTGGCCTGGGTTCAATCCCTGGTTGGGGAATTGAGATCCCGCAAGCCGTGGGGCGAGTCCAAAAAAAAAGCAGGGGCAAATACTGTTATTAAAAAAAAAAATCCTCATTAACATAACTATTTTCCAAAATTTCAGTTACTATTTATATCAAGCTTATCTGACAAAACCAGGACAAATGACTAAAAAAAATTTGTATAATATTTAAATTACTTTACAAATTAAAGAATTTATCACTTACTGTACTATCATCTGAATTACATTAGAAGTATTGAAAAGTCTAAACTCACAGCATTCATCTTTAGGTGTGAAATAAAGTAGTGGAAATCATTTTGAGAATAACGTTTGTTTTTCACAATGCTTTTGAACTCATCTGTTGCATTACTTGTTTCTCTAAAATAGCTATACTAAGTCAAATGAAACTTTTATCAAATAGTAAGTTATTTAGAGTCTTACCTCTAACATCCCAATCAATATGGGTTATGTAACTGGTAGCGCCTTTGCATGTTCCTACTCGTTTACTACTCATTACGTTGTATATATCTATAAAGCTATCATGTGATGCTACAGCAAGATATTTCCCAGAACCTGTAATAGAAACATATTTGCTTGAAATTTTCTACCCTTAGAAATATTTTTTACATTCTACAACTAGAGTCAATTTTCTTAATTTTTTTTGGAGGAACTCTTAGGTGTTTCCTAAGTTATAACAAGACATATGAGTCAAACGACAAATGGTAACATTTTCATGTATATTATAATTAACACAATGAAATAAAATTTTAATGTAGTGAGGTAGTTCAGTGGAAAGAAAATATCAAAAATTATATACAAAGTAATTTTCATATTCTTTGCATGTAACCGGAAAAAAAAAGAAAATCTCTAAATTTAGAAAAAATATAAGTAAGCCAACATAAGTAAATTTTGCCTTAACATTAGTAATCCTGTATTATCGTAGGTTTTGACATTGGTAATGAATATATGGAAATTGAAGAAGCAAAATTCATGTAATTTCAAAAGCATTAAGAATATAATGAAAACAGTTATCCAATCTGTCTTATATTATAAATGAGGAAAATGAAGCTCAAAAAAATGCCTTGGCCCAAGTCACACAGAAAATTTAGGGACAGAATTGGCACTAAGCCAGATATTTTGCCACTGATCTAATATAGGGCTTTTACCTCTCACTATACTGCCTCTTCTAGTAAAAAACTAAAATTCTGAGATAAAATAACAGTTAATAAAAATCACACATTGATACATTCATTGCCATACTCGTTAATAATCAAGTATGATTTCAATGAAATCTTACCTGGTGAAAATCGAATATCTGAAATAATGTCTTTTCTGTGGTGAAAAGATACAAGATCCTCCAGAGTATCTGCATTTGCCATTAAGAAACTTCCATCATTGAGACCTACAGCTAAAGCTTTACCATCAGGAGAAAAACAGCAACATCTCCCACCTAAAAGAGAAAGAGAGCATGTATCAGGTAATTTTCTTTTATTAAAAAAAAAGTATATGCTTAAGGAAACTTTAATTTCAAAGAGGATCCCTATATTTATTATGGCTTCTAATCAATATTAGAAAGAAATAAAGATGCAGATAATAAAGTTTTCTATTGAGATCAATGGTATGGCATTCCAAGCATGAGTTAATACAAACCATTTCCTTTTCTGAATGTAACAAAAGTGAGTACTGATATTTACCTTAAAAGGAATTAAGCTGATGAAAAGAATGAGAGATGACTAACATAAAAAGTCAATGATATATGTGGAAATGTTGTTGTTCGGGGAGTTTGCTACCTTAGTAGTTTCCGTCCAACAAAACAGAAATTTAAGAAATAAGGTCATCTTTATAAAAATGCTTTCAAATTAAAAAAAAAATCTGACAATAGGCAATTATCGGTTTAAGCTCGGAATATCTATACATGTTTCAAAACTATACATGAAGAAATAGTGATGTTAATATTATTAATTAAAAAAAATAAGGGTGAATGCTGTATTGGCAAACACAAAAAATGGGCTTAACTTGACGGCAAGGGATGTAGCAGGCATATTCAAAGCCCTAAGGCTTTTGAAGTCTTGGATAAAGTTTGGAGTGGGAGGGATAGGGTACACCTGTTACAGAATGAAAAGTTATAGAATGAACTGAGAATAAGCAGTCATGTAATTATCAAGCATACATTAGAAATCTAGGATGTGATTTCTGATACTTAAGAGCCAAGAGATGATGGTGACCTGAAGCAGGGTAGCAGCAGTGGAGGTAGTGAGAAATGGTAGGATTTGTATATATTTTGAAGAAAGAGATGGCAGGACCTTGACCAACTGGGAGTAAAGTAGGAAAAAGAGAAAAGTAGAGGCTATTTTTTCGTTTGATTGATGATGTCGTTTGCTGAGATGGGAAAAACTAGGGGAGGTACAAGTGTTTGTTTTTGTACCTGTTACGAATGCCTATGAGAAATTCAAATGAAGACATCAAGGAGCCAGTTTGATACATTAATACTTCTCTGGAGTTCAAGGGAAAAGATATATACAGACTAGAGATATACATAAGGGAGGTAGTAGCACACAGATAGCAGTTATAGCCATGAAACTGGAGAAGGCCTGATATTAATTTATTGCCTCTCAGCTCCAAATCCACCCTCCTTTTTCCTGCTATATGATTACTGGAGCAGGACCCTATGGACATTTTTCCATTGCCAGTTGACTTGGTTTTGGCCCGTAGAGGGTGCTGGAGGGTTCCTGCAAGGCCAAAGAAGAAGGAAGGGACTTTTCTTCCTTCTGTTGTGCTGTAACCAGTGGATCAATTAGCGGACAGAAACTGGGGGAATAGGGGGGTTTCTCTGCCATCATAGCAGATCTCCTAGATCAGCCCTCCGGCAAGTTTCTTTTCCACTGGCAGGTTGTATGTTCCTGAGGCACCTACGCCCTCTCCAAAGAGATCTGAATCTCAGCCTGGGGGAAGAGGGGAGGGTCCACCCTGTAAGTTCATTCCTTGATCACCATCCACTAGCCCTATGGGTGGTAGCTGCTTTCTGCATCTGCTACTTCTATACCCCTTAGAATCCTCTTTCACACCTTTTAGTGGTTAAACACCGTTCATTAGCTAACACTCCATATTAAATTTTCCCTGTTCAAATTACTGGGGTGGTTTCTGTCTCTGATTGATACAGAACTGGTACTGATGTGGTCACAGGAGACAGACCATTAAAGATGGGATTTGCAGAACTGGTTTAGTCATGCCTTTCTTTGGGCTTGAGCATAGTGCTGAGCCCTTGCCAATGGGAAATGGATGCTAGCAATCCAAGGTATGCACTGGCATAACAATTAACGAAGCTATCTCCTGTGGTTGATTGTGAAGTATCCACTGAAGCTGAGTGCCCTGGGAGTCCAAGCGGCTGCTGCCCTTGACCATTACAACAATAATGGTGACCACAAGTTCTGTGTTTGTACAAAAGATTATACTGAATACACAGAGCATTTACAGAAACAAGTTTGTACAAAAGATTACACTGAATACACAGAGCATTTACAGAAAGAAGTAAAAAGCGCAAGTTCTCTAAACTCTCAGCACGAGTCATGGTCTGAGTAGAGAACTTTCAAGACAAACCTAGAAGAATTTCTGACAGGGCTGATATTGAATATTTACAATGTCAATTGAATTCACACACTCACCAAGTTTTCTTGTGTGTAAGTTAGGCCGCTGATTGGGAAGAGAACCCTTAACTGTGGAGTGGGAGCATCTGGCTGGAGTCAGACAAAACTGAGAATCTTGAACTTCTGAGTTATTTGGAGTTTCACTGGCCAATGCAAATAGCTTCCTCTCCAGTGTCTGAGAAAACTCACCTTCTGAAACAGATGCCTTGCAGAGGATGCTTAACCTTCTGAAGAACCATCACAATCATTCCTTTGCTGTCACTAGACCCCCTAACTTGGATCAAATCTCAGCATGCCCTAAGGCAGAGGTTGGCAAACTTCTTAAAGGACCAGAGAGTAAATATTTTCAGCTTTTCAGACTACTCAACTCTGCTACTGTAGTGCAACAGCAGACCTAGACAACACATGAAAGAATGAGCATGGCTGTGTTCTGATAAAACCTGATTTATAAAATCAGGAGGTGGGCTGGAGTTGATGTATGGGCTGACCTCTGATATACAGGAAGAAATCCAAAACCCTAGGGAGGTAAGAATGTTGGAGGAGATTGTTCACATGCAAACTGCATACCCTCCCATCAATTACATCCCGTGAAAAAGTCTAGAAAATAGTCCCTTCATGAAAGCATTGAGAAATACATTAATTAAGGGCAGCACCTGCATCACTGAAAAGCTCTGTGACTGTCCTCCCATAAAGGTCAGGAATGGGAAATGTCACCATTAATATGGGCTCCCTGATTCAAAAGATAATCCTGGAGAAGCAGAGGTCAAGCAGCAGCACTTAACCAACAAAAATAAGGTAGATTCTTTTATCAAAAAGGGCAGCAGGGATGTACTAATAATCAGAATGTGCTGGCCTGTGGAGATTTCTGTTGGTGGCTAATTAATCTCGGTGTCTCCAGGAACGAAATAAGTAACTTACTAGATTAGTGTTTGATCTATGAGTAGGAAAAACTCCAGACCTGGTGGCTAAAACACCTGACTTAAATCACCACAATGGAGAGTCACAGTTTCTCAACCAGTTTTCAGACCTAAGCCAATTCATATACTCAGAGCCCCCTGATTGAAGGAGGGCCAAGTTCCAATGAGGAAGAACCCTGTCGCACTGTCACAAATGTATAACATAAATCTTTCTCCAAGGATCTGTGGCCGCTTAGTACAATGACTGTGAACTGAAGGAAAGAAAAGATCCAAACTTTCAGGAATTACTGGACATGGGCTCTGAACTGACACTAGTTCTTAAGAACACTAAAAGCTGCTGTTGTACAAGCAGTAAAAGTGGGGCCTTATGGTGATCATGTGATAGATGGAAGCTAAGTCCAATTATGAATCATAGTGGACCCAGGTGGTCTGTGGACCCCACCCAATTACTGAATTTGAATAGATATACTTGGTAACTTGTAGAATGCTCTACAGCTGGCTCTGTGATCCATGGGGTAAGGGTCATTACAACAGGAAGAACTAAGTACAAACCCCTGGAAATTCCTCTCTACTAAGACAACCAGAAACAAAACCATAAGCCTGAGAATTGTAAAAATCAGTGACATTACCAAGGACGTGAAATATGCAGGGGTAAGAATACCTATCACATCATCTTTGCTTGTTTGGTCTGTGCTGAAATAAGATGGATTTTAGCTAATAACTCTGGATAATAAATTTAATCAGGTTATGATTCCAATTGAAGCTACTCTTCCAGATCTTTACTAGAACAAATTAACACAGTCCCTAGCATTTCGCTGCAGCTATTGCCCTGGTTAATGCTTTTATCTCCATACCAATTTGTAAAGACCACCAGAAGCAGTTTGCTTTTACCTGGCTTGTATCTGTGGACACCTTCAAGTCCTTGCCTCAGGACTATTTCAACTCTCCTGTTCTTTGCCATAATACAGTCCACAGAGATCCTGATCATCTTGACATTCCATAAAACATCTCAGTGGTCCACTACATTGATGACATTATGCTGAATGGATCTGGGGAGCAGGAAGCAACAAGCATAATACTTTAGATGCCTTAGTAAGACAGAAGTGAATCAAGAGAGTGGCAGATAATTCCCACAAAAATTCAGGAACCCTGCCACCTCAGTGAAGTTTCTGTGGATCCAATGATCTGGAATATGTCAAGACATTCCCTCCAACTGAAAGACAAGTTGCTACACCTCCCATCACCTACCATGAACAAAAGGAGCAGAATGCTTGGTAGGCCTTTGGGGAAGCAACACATACCACATTTGAGTGAGCTGCTCTCTCCATCTATCAAGCCACTTACAAGCTTCCAGTGGGGACCAGAACAAGAGAAGGCAAGCTGATCTTCCACTTTGGTCTTATGATCAAGCAGATTCAATGATACTCCAAGTGTCTATGGTAAATAGGGATGCTGTATGGAACCTCTGGAAAGCTACAAAGAAGCATACTTCGGACTGGGAGAAATTCCATGCCCTCCTTTACAGATAACTATTTTCCTTTTGAGAAGTAGTTTCTGGATTGCTACTAGGTCTTAGTAGACAGCAAGTAAATGCCTAACTATGGGATATCAGGTGATTCTATGTCCTGAGCTTTCTTTCATGAACTGAAAGTTACATGACCAACCTAGCCACTCACTGGGTGTACACAACAGCAATCTGTCATCAGCTGGACACAGAACAGAAAATACCAGGCTTAGAGAGATCTGGAAGTTACAAGTAATTTATATGAACAACAGGTGACTCAGAATCTTTCAGCAATAAATCCTATAGTGCAAGGCCTCTTCTCTCTCTCAATCTACACCTATGGCCTCATAGGTGTTCATTATGATCAGCTGACTGAGGAAGAAAA